AAAAAAAAAAAAAAAAAAAAAACATCTGCGCACATAGAAAATAAGCCTTCTGATGGGTAACACTTTTGGGCCCCTTTCGACCCGTCACGTGACAACGCTTAAAATGTAGGATTAATTTCGCTCCAGAGAGGTGGTACCCCCTCCCCCCTTTGAGAATCACTTAACAAGTGCCACGGTTGGAAGGGGAGCTACTTCTCAATGAAGGATGCACTGAAAAGTAGGGTCTACACACCCCTATGCATCCATTTTGGAGAAGGAAACAGACCAGTCAAGCGCTATCGCTCATTCGTTGGCGAGGCGGTGTAGCTCACCTGAAGGAGCAATCGCATGACCCTTTTCGCGTCATAACAATTTCGCACCAGTGCTAAAGGTAGGTAATATAGGTGTATACATGCAGATGTGCATAAATGCGCACCTCCCACTGCCGCCTAACATCCTATGAGCGACCCTCGGTTGTCCGACATGTGTGCAAGCGCAAAGGGAGGAAGCACCCCCTCAAGCGATTTCGCCAACCGTACAGTAAACGCTCACATTAGGTGCACGTACAAAGTGGGAAAGATGAACGACTTTTTCCCCTTCGCTGTGACGCAGACTAGAGGGGGGGAAATGTTATTTTTCTTTTTAGGAATACAATTTTGGCTTTATTAATTCTGATAGTGTACAAATGGCTAAGGAGGGAAAGGGCAGAGAAACAAGGGACACAGCATGCTTTTCGTAAAACTGTCACGTTAGGCGGGCCACTTCAGACGCGCCACATTAGACAGGTCACGTCATGCTCGCTTCGTGATGCCCCTATCACAAAATGAACAGAAATAACGGGCATCCAATGGTGACATACTGCCGGGCTTCTTAAAAGAAGATGCACTAAAAAGAGAGGGTTAAGTATGATGAAACAAACGAAATGAGGGGGGCAGGTACCATAAAATGCACGGCTCATTGGGGTGACGGTACCGTACCAGCACCTGTGAGAGCGATGGCATCCCTATAGCATGGCAAACTAGACACGCGTTGATGTCGTACCAGTGACTCCCTAGGGCAGTCATACACATATGCTTCACGAATGAGAAAGAAAAAAAAAAAGGAAAGATAAATAGATGGAGATAGAGAGAGAGACGGGACCGGTGGGGAAAACCCTTTTGAATGCCCCTGGGAAGAACCATCTAATTCTTCATTTTGGACGATTTTCCTCGGACAACCTTCGCATCTGGGGTCTGCGAGGCGGATTCACGTTTGGAGTTGTCTCCCTTAGAGTAGGACCTTCCGACGCTTTCTCTCTTCGCACCAACGGACCTAGATTTGTGCGTCCTCTCGGATGAAGCCCCCCGCATCTTCACGTTCGTGCTCCTCATGGAAGAAGGTGTGGTTTTCCGTTTCTTCTTCGATATAGTTGTGTCGACAATTTGGTAGAATTGCCTATGAGCCTTTTCACTCAGGTTGATGTTTTCTTTGCAAGACCTCCTTGGTTGTCTCCTGGTAGGACTTTCATTGCTTAAGTAGGGTTTACTCTTAACGCTTCTTCTCCTTTTGTGTGAATCTCTGCTGACAGTGGTCTTCTCCACGGTGCCTAGAAGATCGCTATCGAGATTTTCTAAATCCTTTGACTGCACATAGTACTTACTATTGACTGGTGTGTGGGGGTTGTAGAAGAGGTCTTTGAAGAAGCTTCCTTTCTTGTTTTGGCTAATTTCTACCTTGTCCGGTTTCTCCATAAGGATGGAGTCTGTACCGTGTTCGTTGGTGGGATGTTTGAGATAGGCATCCTCCTCATCTTGCTCATCTATCTCATGTAGCTTCTTCCCTTGCATCCCATCGATTTCCATCTGGAGGAAGTTCTCCCTTCTGTGTTTTTTCACGAACATGTCTTCCTCCTCGTAGATTTCATCGTGACCTCTCTTATGAGACATCCTCTCCGAGTCCACATGGGATGTAATAAAAGCACAGTGGGATGATCCCCCTGCGAAGGAGACAATTTGAACATGGCTGATTGATACTTCGCTCTCTTTCCTACCTTTGCTAAACGTTTTGGTAACAAAGTTGTGGAAGCCAATTTCGGAGGGCTGATTCTTCTCGATGACAGCGATGCATGTGTCTTCTTCGAAGTCATTTCCTCCCGTGCCCCACCCGAAGAGTTTCCCACTCTCCGTCAACACGAGGCAGTGGTCTGTTCCGCAAGAAATCGTTTTAATGACATCTTGTCTTTTTTTAAAGTAGGTTAACTCCTGAGGAGAGTATGCGTCCTCCTCATATTCCATCCCCAATATCTCTCGGTTGCCCCAAATGTACAGGTCATTATTTTTAAGTAGACAAACGGTAAAGCTTTGTCCACCACAAAGTTGTGCTATCTCTTTGGAAGAGAGCTCATCAATTTTGCAGAACTTTTTTATGATGTTATCTCTCATCGAGACCCCACATGATCCGTATGCATTCCTCCCGATTGCGTACACATCGAGAGATGCTTCTAACTGAACAAACGTGTTGTTCCCACCACAGTATATGTCCCTAAACTTTGAGGAAAATCCGAGATCTTTGAAGTGGTAGCGATTGGGGAAGATATATCTGTTCCTGACTTCTGAGGCGAATTCTATGTCATAGAACGTGTTGCACACTTGACATGAGTCACTGTTTCCCATGGTATAAATGTATTCTCCGCTTTGTTCCAGACACACGAGGTGGTCTTCTCCCGATATGATATTACTTATGATGACCTCTCCCTGGTTTGATTTTTCCACCTCTTCATCGTAATAATGCGAGACGTCCCCACCAAGGGCGTAGGAAAATTTTACTTCCACGAACTCCTCCGATTTGGGTATTATTTCGCCCCTTGTCTGGAAAGACGGAAGGCCCAGAATCCCACAAGAGTCTCTAAACCCCCCCGTAATGTAGACCTTTCCATTTTCTAACAAAACCGCTGTGTGGTTATCACCGCAGCTGATTTTTTTAATCTTCGATTTACAGGTCCAGTTCAGTAAGGTTGGAGAATGCTCAGGATCCTTTGTGCTGTTGGAATGGGTCTTTCGGCCGAGAACGCCCATGTCGTTACACCCAAAGGAGAACAGTCTGTCATCCTTCGTCTTGATAATTGTGTGCATGGATCCGCAAACCACTTGGTCGATATCGTTTGGGAGGTTTCGCACGGCCGTCGGGTTCACCTGCACGTAGTCCGCGCAGTACTCGGGCGGCAGCTGGCCGCACTCGCCTGACCCGAAGATGAAAAGCGTGTTCTTCACCTTCATTGGCGTGACGGTTGGAGCTACACCGAGCGGCGGTGCGATTGCGATGGTTGCGGCAGCCGTAGTTGTTGTGGCCGTCGTCGTTGCCGCCGTTGCCGTCGTCGCGCTGCTCCACATCGCTTGTCACCGCCGCCAATCTCCCTATAGACGTGGTCCCGAAGGCTCCGTCCACGTGAGCAAAGGCGTCACGTCGGTCGCGGGGCAGTAACGGCGCCGGCGGGCGCACAGCCGTGTACATATGCATACGCACAGGAATATACACGCCCATACGCAGGAGGGTACTTAATGTAGTTATTTAACCGTTGATGTGATCTAGCTAACTTCTCCCGCGGTTCTCCTCTTCATTTTTATTTTATTAATCGAAACTGTGACCACGCAGGGAGGCGG